TACACTTTATTGTAAGAGCAGTAGGGTTCAAGGGCCGGCCCTTGGCTCACTCAGGAGAGTGAGGTGCTGATAACACCAAGGCCACGGGTTTGGATCCTGTATAGGGATGGCCGGTTTGTTCACTGGCTGAGTGTGGTGCTGACAACACTAAGTCAAGGGTTAAGATCCCCTTACCGGTCATCTTTAAAAAAAAAAAGAAAAGAAAAGAAAATTCACTTTTATGATGACAAATATGCCAACTATCCTGATTTGATCATCACATATTGTACACAAATACCAATAGTCCACTCTGTACCCTGCAAAAGTATAATCAATTATGTTTCAGTTTTAAAAAGTACAAAATTTTAAGTTAAAAGAAAAAAAGGAAAGAAAAATTCACTCTAATGATAGCATGTCAATAGATACTAGGATAGGGCTGTTGAGTGAGGGACAGGACAAAACAGAAGTCAGCGAGACTAGTTAAGAGGCTGTTGAATTACCCATCTAAGAGAATATAATAATGGGAACTCGGGCGATAGCAGTGAGAAAGGTGAGAAGTGAAAAGATTTGAGATATATTGTTTATATCCACACTCATGCTCCACTCCTGGAAAAATAGTGTGTTTGTCTGTATGTGTGTGTGTGTGCATATGTTGATAGATTGTTGAAGGGATTGAATTATCTGGAAAAGAATATTTAGAAGATATAAATTGATCTTAAGCCAACTGGGAAGTAAAATAGCTGTCAGAAAGTCTCTCAAATAACTTCTCATCTTAGAAACGAGACACTGAGAGTCGGAAGAGACTCACTTTGTCCTGGATCTGCATTTTCTATTGGTTTGACTTTTGTTGTATCATTTAACCTCCTTGAACTTTTTGTCCAACTCAAAGTGAAGATGATGAAGCCTGTCTGGCCTACTCTGAGTTTATCTTAAGCTCAGCATGTATCGGGGTGTGACCATGACAGGGAAGCTAACATCCTCTTGACCAACTTTAATAGAATGAAAATGTTTAGGGTAATTGTTTAGCCCCATGAGTCTTGTGTTAAGTGTGGACGCTGGCCTTTTGGCTCACTCCAGGGCAGAGATAGTGAATTGTACTTCACCGAGGCTATGCAACAGAGAGGCAGGGTTTCAGAATGGATTAGGGTGATACTAGATCATCTCAGAGATGATCCCCTTGCAACTCTGACACTCGTTGGTCCTTGTGACAGGCTGTAGTGAGAATCAGATGGCTATGAAAACACTCAGAACAAGCATTCTAGGCAAATGAAAGGTATTATTCAGTAGGCTTTATGATACTAGCTTACAGTTTTTAAATGTTTAACTCTCTCATATATATCTGAGGCAGAAAATAACTTCCAGTTTCCTACTTACTGGTAGATAATTTGTTTAGTTTCATAGAGACTGAAAGCCATGTTCCTTCCATAGTTCTTTCCCCTCATACCACCTTCTTACAAACTAGATGCATCCTGTTTTTCTTCTTTCATCTTGTATTAGTCAGTTTATGTTGCTTATAACAAAATACTTGGAACCTGATAATTTATAAAGAAAATGAAATTTATTGCTTACAGTTCCTACAATCCAATCACCTCTTAAAGGCTCCACCTTTCAATTATTATAATAGGATTTCCCACCCTCTTAACAGTCACAGTGGAGGCTAAGTTTCTAATCCATAAAACTTGGGGGACACAATTCAAGCTTCGGTGAGTTTTGGGGGTACATAATTCAATTCACCCCGGCCCCCCAAAACTCATGTCTTTTCACATGCAAATACATTCATTTCATCCCCAAAGTCTTAACTTGTTTCAACTCAAAAGTCCAAAGTTCACAGTCCCATCTGTGAAATCAATACAAGTTATCTACTTGCAAGATACAATGGTGGGACAAATGTAGGATACATATTCCCATTCCAAAAGGGAGAAATAGACCAAAAGAAAGGAGAAACAGGTCCCAAACAAGTCCGAAACCCAGCAGGACAGGCATTAAATCTCAAAGCTGGTGAATCATGTTCCTTGAATGATGTTCAATGTCCTTTGCATGCTGGTATGGGGGTTGGGTCCCCAAGTCCTCAGGCAGCTCCGCTCCTATGGCTTTCCTGGTCTCGGGTGATGCTTTAGCTCTCGCAGGCCAGCATTTCACACTGGTAGCTCCACAGGTCTGGGGTCTTCATGGTGGTCCCACTCTCACAGCTCCACTAGACATGGCACTGATGGGGTTTCTCTGCTGAGACTCCGACCCCACATTTCCACTCGGCATTGCTCCAGCAAAGGTTGTATTCAGTGACTCCACCCCTGTGACAGATCTCTTCCTGGGACCCCAGACTTTTCCATACATCCTTTGAAATCTGGGTGGAGGCTCCCAAGCCTCCACAGCTGTGGTATTCTGCAAGCCCATAGACCTAACACCACATGGATGCCACCAATGCTTCCAGCTTGTATTTTCAAAGCTACACATCTAGCTACACTTAGGGCCAATTTAGCCACAGCTGGAGCAGCGAAAGCATCTGGGGTGCTGATGCTAGAAGCAACTTCCCAAGGTGGCCCTGAGCTGTGAGCCCGTGGAGGGCTCCTCAAGCCTGTTCCCCAAGACCATTTTGTCTCTCTAGGTCTTTGGGCCTCAAATGGAAGGGTTGGTCCTAGAGGTTTCTGCAATGCCTTCAGGGCCTTTTTCTCCTTCTCTTGATAATCATGTTCTTTTGCACTAATCTTCTTAGCTAAGGGTCTCTGGGCTGCACCATTGCATGCTCTCTGCTTCTCTCCCACATGGCCAGACTGCAAATTTTCTAAATTTTTATGCTCTCCTTCCCTTTTAAATTCTGGCTTTACATCATTTCTTTTCTGCCATAACTCAGAATAGACTGTTGCAAGTAGCCATGCAGCTTCCTTAATGCTTTCCTGCTTAGAAATTTCTTCCAGCAAGTACTCTGGTTCACAGCCCCCAAGTTCCAACTTCCACAAAGTACTAAGGCATGGACCGAATGCAGCCAAACTCCTTGCCAGTTCACAGCAAGGTAGATCTTTGCCCAAGTTTCTGAAAAACTTTCTTATTTCTATCTGAGACCTACTTAGAATGGTCTTTACAGTCCATATTTCTATCAGCATTCTGCTCGCCACTATGTAACCAGTCTCTAAGACATTCCAAACTTTCCTTCATCTTATTGTCTTCTTCTGAGTCCTCCAAACTCCTCCAACCGTTGCCTAACATCCAGTTCCAAAGCTGCTTCCACATTTTCAAGTATCTTTTATAAGCAACACCCCACTTCTCTGGTACCAATTTTCTGTATTAGTCGATTTATGTTGCTTTAACAAAATACTTGGAACTGGGCAATTTACAAAGAAAATGAAATTTATTGCTTACAGTTTCTGAGGCTGGGAAGTCCAAAGTCCATCTCATGGTGACAACAGTGACCCAGTGGTCTCACATTGCAATATGGTGGAAGCAGAGAGAGCAAAGAGAGCGAAAGACAGACTCTCCTCTTCTTTTAAAGCCCTCAGAACCATGCCCCTGACCACCATTTTTAATCCATTCACTACTGCAGGGTCCTACAATCCAATCACCTCTTTAAGGCTTCACCCTTCAATTACCATAATAGGATTTCCCACTCTCTTAACAGTCACAGTGGGAGCTAAGTTTCTAATCCATAAAACTTGGGGGATGCAATTCAAGCTTCAGTGAGTTTGGGGGGTACATAATGCAATCCACTACACATCTCATACATTTAACATTGACTGGAAACATTTGACTGCCAAGACTTAAATTTGAGCATATGGGGTTTCTCCCACAGTCTATGATAGCATCACCAACAAGTAGAGCACAGGCATATACATTCCCTGATTTCAGAATGAGGAATGTTCTCCACCTCCTGGGAAAAACCAGGGCCCTGCCTCACAGAAGTTGAAAGGAAACTGATTTAAGAGCCCTTTTAAGGTGCTGTGACTTCTTGCTCATCAGTGTTGGGAATTGGTTCACTTTTTCTTAGAAGAACCCCTTGGGTGGCCAGCCACCAAAAAAAAACCCAACCCTCTGGAGCTTTAGAGCATAAGTGATGACAGTGACTCAGAGTAGCAAACACTTATTGCACCTTGACACTGTGCCAGGTGCTGTTTTAGCCCTTTACATGCAAGATACACCACAGCCCATGAATAAGCACTCACTTTGTAGTTAGGAAACCGAGGTACATGCAGTTACATAACTAGCCTAGAGTCACATAGTTAGAGCTGGAAGTTAGGCCTAGACATGTGATTCCAAAGCCATACCTGAGCCCCACTGCTTTTCCCCCTCCTTGCAAGCAGAGACTTGCTACACAGTGGTCTGAAGGAGGTAGGATTTCCTGTCTGCAGTTCAGTAGCACAGTCAGAGGTGTTAAGCAGGAAAAGCACAGGGCTGGCCAGTTATCTCAGATGGTTAGACCACCACCTTGTAACACCAAGGTCAAGGGTTCAGATCCCCTTACTGGCCAGCTGCCAAAATAAAATGAAAAAGCATATTAGATTTCTGGTCTATATACAGTATTCTCCACATCAGGAAGGAAATACACTAGATACGAACATGGCTTCCATTTAGATAAATGGCTCTAATTCAGGGAAACTCATGCCCATCAGGAAAACTTTTAATCAAGGGATGAGAGTTTTTACATGCTACATGTTTTGTGTTTTCTCTTTCCTTAGGTTAAAAAGATCAAGTGGCATGAGCAGCCTTTTGGGGAAAATTGGAGCCAAGAAGCAGAAAATGAGCACCCTAGAGAAGTCCAAATTGGACTGGGAGAGCTTCAAGGAAGAAGAGGGGATTGGTGAAGAACTCGCCATCCATAATCGAGGGAAGGAGGGGTAAGAAAGAGTANCCACCATTTTTAATCCATTCACTACTGCAGGGTCCTACAATCCAATCACCTCTTTAAGGCTTCACCCTTCAATTACCATAATAGGATTTCCCACTCTCTTAACAGTCACAGTGGGAGCTAAGTTTCTAATCCATAAAACTTGGGGGATGCAATTCAAGCTTCAGTGAGTTTGGGGGGTACATAATGCAATCCACTACACATCTCATACATTTAACATTGACTGGAAACATTTGACTGCCAAGACTTAAATTTGAGCATATGGGGTTTCTCCCACAGTCTATGATAGCATCACCAACAAGTAGAGCACAGGCATATACATTCCCTGATTTCAGAATGAGGAATGTTCTCCACCTCCTGGGAAAAACCAGGGCCCTGCCTCACAGAAGTTGAAAGGAAACTGATTTAAGAGCCCTTTTAAGGTGCTGTGACTTCTTGCTCATCAGTGTTGGGAATTGGTTCACTTTTTCTTAGAAGAACCCCTTGGGTGGCCAGCCACCAAAAAAAACCCCAACCCTCTGGAGCTTTAGAGCATAAGTGATGACAGTGACTCAGAGTAGCAAACACTTATTGCACCTTGACACTGTGCCAGGTGCTGTTTTAGCCCTTTACATGCAAGATACACCACAGCCCATGAATAAGCACTCACTTTGTAGTTAGGAAACTGAGGTACATGCAGTTACATAACTAGCCTAGAGTCACATAGTTAGAGCTGGAAGTTAGGCCTAGACATGTGATTCCAAAGCCATACCTGAGCCCCACTGCTTTTCCCCCTCCTTGCAAGCAGAGACTTGCTACACAGTGGTCTGAAGGAGGTAGGATTTCCTGTCTGCAGTTCAGTAGCACAGTCAGAGGTGTTAAGCAGGAAAAGCACAGGGCTGGCCAGTTATCTCAGATGGTTAGACCACCACCTTGTAACACCAAGGTCAAGGGTTCAGATCCCCTTACTGGCCAGCTGCCAAAATAAAATGAAAAAGCATATTAGATTTCTGGTCTATATACAGTATTCTCCACATCAGGAAGGAAATACACTAGATACGAACATGGCTTCCATTTAGATAAATGGCTCTAATTCAGGGAAACTCATGCCCATCAGGAAAACTTTTAATCAAGGGATGAGAGTTTTTACATGCTACATGTTTTGTGTTTTCTCTTTCCTTAGGTTAAAAAGATCAAGTGGCATGAGCAGCCTTTTGGGGAAAATTGGAGCCAAGAAGCAGAAAATGAGCACCCTAGAGAAGTCCAAATTGGACTGGGAGAGCTTCAAGGAAGAAGAGGGGATTGGTGATGAGAGTTTTTACATGCTACATGTTTCGTGTTTTCTCTTTCCTTAGGTTAAAAAGATCAAGTGGCATGAGCAGCCTTTTGGGGAAAATTGGAGCCAAGAAGCAGAAAATGAGCACCCTAGAGAAGTCCAAATTGGACTGGGAGAGCTTCAAGGAAGAAGAGGGGATTGGTGAAGAACTCGCCATCCATAATCGAGGGAAGGAGGGGTAAGAAAGAGTAGATTCTATTCGTTTGACAATCCTCAGAACTCTGAAATGGTTTATTGCAGACAAACTGCTCAATTTAAGCAAGCAAGAGCTTTTCACAATGAAATGACAAATGAGAGTACTTTGGTTTATCAGTGAAGCTCTGTTCTCACTTGGGGCGGGTCCCATCAGTGAGAAAGCTGCTGGGGGTGAAGGGAAGGAGGGGCCTGTGAGCAGCATTTCCCTTGGGGCCAGTCACTTCTGCCAAGTGAGTTTGCTGAATTACAGCTCCATTGAACTGCAGGCTGCCTAGTTTACTCACGTGGTCGGATCTGACTCATGGTAGCAGCCTTGGCCTAATCTGAATCCTTTGGTCTTCTGAGAAGCCAGACTAGCTCAAATGTTTCAAAAGCAGAGCCAACAGAGTGGCTAGATGTTGTTGCCTTATTGTGGGATTTTTTTTTGTCCATGTCATTGTGGTCCAGGGTGGGGCTTCACCCTTGGCTGCAGCCTGTGTGATGCACCATGCCCTCAGACAGCATCCCAGGCCATCACTTGCACCCCTTCCTTTTCACTTTGAAATACAAAGAGGATGTCAATAAACTATGTACTCAATTGTGAAAAGGATCCCTTCCTTTTCATATTTGTCTTCCTGGTGATTAAACAAAATATCAAGGAAGAAACGGTGTTCGGAAAGTACTTAGAGACCTCTGAAGGAGCTGAGGAACAAAGTTACCACAGAAGTGGCTCCATGGCTCAAGGTCAACATTTCCCTCCCCTGACAATGAGAGGAAGTGTTGAATGGACCATCAGAGAGCCCTGGGTGCTCATTGACCCTGCCCCTCACCAGTAAGGCTCCTCCATGAGCACACCGAATGCTCTGAGACTCAGCTCCTTTGGGACAATGATACCACCCTCACCATGAGATCATATATGAGAGCATTTCAAAAAGTTCATGGAAAGATTTGTATTATCTTTTAATTCTATCTTTCCACAAACTTTTTGAAGTGCCTTCATATGTGATATATATATATTACTTGTATATATGTAATATACATAAAACACTTTACAAAACACCTGTCACATGAAGGCTTGCATCAAGTAAAAGTCATTCAGGTTATTAATTAGCTAAATTATAATACAGACAGATAAGGGATTTATTTGGGGGATCATATTTCTAAATTAGGCCTCAGGATTATTTGAATGAACCTGGAAGTGACTGGTATGTTTTATGACTTTGTGAGCTTGTTTAACCACCAGACTTCTATGTCAGTCTGTCTAAGCTGGAATACCACAGGACAGAGGAGGAGGAGGCACAGCCATCTGGAGAAGGCCCAGGATGAAGCACAGGCAGAAGTCACATGACTGGGTTAGGGAACAATTCATAGCATGCCACTTTTATGCTCTGCTTTTCCCTCCTTTTCTGAGGCTTCTTCCCCACTGGCTAGGTGATTCCTCAGATCTCATTGTGCTTTTTCAGTACAGATCTGATGATTTCTGTGCTCTGCCTTGGCCCTTCTCATCTGCCTTCTTCAGTGCCTACCCCCACACTCACCGACTTTCTTAGTTCCGTGCAGTCAGATTAAAGGAGCCCAACCCCTAGTCCAGGGAAGAGACTATAACTCTTGGTCTCACCTAGGCTAAGCATGAGAATACCCTGGAGAAATTTTCCAAAGTTCAGGTGACAAGTCCACCCTTGTACAGAGCTGCCAAATCAAGAGTGTAGAACAGGTCGGTCACAGTTAAATTGACCTCATATATCAAAATTTAGATCATGAATGGTGATAAAATATTACTGTTAAGCAGTTCTGATTAAAATAAGATTGGATTGAGGTTAAAAGATTATGTCACGCTTTTTGTGTTTTGACAGTAATTCCAGTTCAGTAAGTGCTATCATGTCTTTCCTTTTATTAGGATCAGATTGAATTCGAAGCCAGATTAATCAGTGTTAGGTTATTATTGTTTGATTTTTTTAAAGGTGATTTTGCTATCTTAAAATATTCACATAAAGATGGCTGGCCAGTTAGCTCAGTTGGTTACAGCATAGTGCTGATAACACCAAGTTTCAGAGTTCAATTCCTTTACCAGCCAACTGCAAAAAAAAAAAAAATTCACATAAAGAAACAAGGCAATTTGAGAACACTAGACACAAGGTCAGATCTGCAAAGAATTTAGACAATGCACATATCAGATTTTAAAAGTTATGCCTACTATGTTTAAAGAAGTAAACAACAAACTTGAAAATATTTGTAGGAAGAGGAAACTATAAAAAGTGCAGATTTGAAAGATACTCAGAAAATGTCTAGAAATGAAAAACATAATAACCATAATTAAAAACCAAATGGATGGATTTAACAGTAGATTAGACCAACTAAGAAGAGAATCCATAAACTGGACAATAGAAGAAATATGGATCAAAGAGACAAAAAGACAAAAAAAAATGGAAGGGAGATTTAGCAACTTGAAAGACAGAGGGGGAAAAAATGAAAGACACCTCCTTAGAGATTTTTAAAAACCCAGAGAATCCCATGATAAATAAAATAGAAATCCACACTTAGATATATCAGAGTGAAACTTCAGAAAACCAAAGACAAAGAGAAAAATCTTTTTTTTTTGTCTTTTTGTGGCCAGCCTGTACAGGAATCAAACCCTGGACCTTGGTGTTATCAGCACCACACTCTAACCAACTAAGCTAACTGGACAGCTGGAAAGACAAAGAGAAAAATCATAAAAGCAGCAAGAGAAAAGGGATAGATAATGAAATGATATATTCAATGCCAAAAGTGAACAACTCCCAACCTAGAATTCTATTTGACATGTGTGTGCAGATATCCATCTATCTATACATATATGTTATATGTAAAGAGAGAGAGAGAGAGAGAGAGAGAGCCTTCATGTATGAGAGCAAATACCAACCTTTTTGGAATAATAAAAGCTTAGAGAGAGCCTCACCCAAAGAAATTTAAAGAATATATTCTAACAAAAGATAGAAGGTCTAATAAACATCAAAGAGCAAAGGGGCAAATATGTAGTAAATTTAAATGATCATTGACTCATTTAATAAGAATAATTATGTCTTGTAAGTTGTATTTTGATTTTTTTCTTAAAGCAGGATACTATTAAAATACCTGACAATAAAAACATAAAAGTTAGGGGGTGGCTGGTTAGTTCAGGTGGTTAGAGTACAGTGTTATAACACTGGAGTCAAGGTTTCAGATCACCATAACCAGTCTGCTGCCAAAAAAATAAAATAAAATGAAAATTGGAAGAGAGTAAATGGAGTTTAGTTTTCGAAAGGTCTTGTATTCAGAAGGAGGATAGAGGTGTTGATTAAGTGTGCATATTGAAATTTCTATAACAAACAGAGTGTATAATTTCTGAAGTAATGGAGGGAGAAAAATGGAATTTCTTTTTTTTAATTAACCAAAAGAACACATAAAAAGAGAGTTTAAAAAAACAGAACAGGCAGGACAAATAGAAAGCACAAAATAAGATGGTAGCTTTAAGACTAAATTTA